ATATTCTGAGGAAAAGTCCAGACTTAGCCAAATGCCACTCACAGAAACCATGACCTCCACTGCTCCCCATACACGTTGTGCTGCATTTGGTTCAGTTTTTGTGTAGCTGTGCCAAAGCAGCCCATGCTCCGTGGCAAGTTTGGCTGCTGGTCTGCTTCATCCTTTCCATACCTTTTAGTTTTCCTTCTGTTTTTAAGAAGGAAAGTCTGAGAACTGATGCTTTGTAGTTCTTGGGCAGTAGTGAAACCTTTCACGACACCGAAGAGCTGTGAAGTATATATCCAACCAGTCAGCCTTTATCTTTGAGAACATACTTCGGTTATGACAGCTGGAGACCTTTTCTCGCTTAGGTGCTCTGTATCACTCGGGCATGGCCAGGTTTGGAAAGAGCCATTTCCTTGAAACAAACAATAGCAATCAATTTGCAGAGTCAGAAGAGGGGAAAGCCTTTTATTCCCGTTCTAGTTATCATAAAGATAAAAAAAGGATGTGCAGATAAAAAAGGCTTGTTTCAATATTCTCAATACTGCCAGTCAAGCAGATTTCCATAACTCTGTTCTGTGTCTGTAATTTTCCCCAGTCCAAGGCCTACTAACCAATTTTAAGCTCTCTTCCTTTCCAAATGTGCTTGTACAAAGATGTATTTAAAAGATTTTCAAAAATTATGGACTGGGATACGTGAATCACTACCTTCTAAGGAAAAACAACATTAGCAATAACCTGTATATTCTGTTTAGTCTTTTACCAGGCCAGTGAAGCATGTTGGCTTCTAGTCGGCATAGATGTACCTTCAACAGCAACTGTGTGTTTTGTCTCTCTTTCACACGGTTTAGTGTAAATGGGAGGGAAACAAGGGTAAGCAGAAGCTGGGGTAATAGTGATAAAGTTAGGATGCAAATCTGGGGGTAAACAACCTTTATTAGTTCTGTTCATTAATCTTTATCTAAAATGTGTTCAAATTACAGGTCTATTCAGACCATGAATAGGATTGGAATTCTTTTTTTCCTGTTTGTGCTTAAGTACAACATCTTGGAATGTGTTTAACCAAGCTAATATACCAGGTGGAGCTCAAGCAATTGGTCTGCAAAATACCAGTCGGCTCCAAAGACAGAGTACCTTTTCCAGATTGCAGCTGAATTATGTACGAAGCCTACTAAGAGGCCATAAATCTCACAAACATCACATGAAAGAATGTGATTCAGGATACGTTTGCTTTAGAGCAAAGTGTTTGTTGGGATAGAAAATTATATGGCTGTGACACCTAATAGCCCCAGAAATGTCTTCAGTCTCAGTGCATCCTGGGAATATGTTCCTTGCATAGAGACAAGAACATGGTACATCTAAGAGACATATTCTTCAGCCAGGCATGGTAGTTATTAGGTAAATAAATTTTGGAGAAGCAACTGAGGAAATAAGATTTGATCTTGGTATGAGAGAGTTCAAGTGCTCCTTGGTTCCTTCTGCAGGGCAGCAAAGGGACAAGACAGCATAAACCAGACCTAATCCTGTGCATATGCTACCTGCCACGGCACTGAGTCACGGGTTTTCTCATGTTGTTTTGTGCGAATTTAGTCATGTTTAAACGATCATTTTATAATGCTAGAAGTTTTTTATTATGTCAGAATAAAATGTCTTTATTATGTCAGAAGTTAAAAGTAGATAATATTGGCAAAAAAGGCAATTTCAGGTGGATGCTTAGATAGTTCTTAATCTCTGGCAGCCAAAATCCTTATCAGCTTCAGGTGAAACCATTTTTCCTTGATCTCTTAATCTGCTTCATTCTCAGCAACAGTGAAGGCATACCACAGTGCCTAATTGGGTTGCACTGATGGTGTGTCTGTGACGGATTGTTTCGGACTGAGCTTCTCAGGTGTCAACAGGCAGTATTTGTAACGTTTCCCTTCCGCGTCATGCCGTGTGAGAAGGTTTTGTCCTGTGTTTGACTGCAAGACAAACTTTTTCCAGTGCTACATGATGGTATTGAAGTAGCTTGTACTCTGTTGGTAATACTTGGAGAACCTCTCCCTTCTTGTTGTCTTGACCACTGCTCTATTTCAGTGTAAAATACAGTCTCTTTGTAAAACATACAAAAGCACATGTATACAGCAAAATGTCCATGTCTCAAATTTCTCTTTGCCAATTATTCCATAATAACAATGAACCAGCAATAACAGCGACAGGCAATTTGCAGTGATTCTAGAGGAGAAAAATATTAAATAGCTTAAAAAAAAGTGTGGAGGCTGGTTTTCTCTTTACTCACAGTAAAGGTGAATGGTAAAATACACCATTTCCTGGACTTCGGCTCTGTGGATGATGTGATAGCTGCCCAGTGGTACTACAGCAGGAGGAGGTAGCAACTGGACATGTCACTGGTAGGATCTGAACCAGGGGCAAGGTCAGGGAGTTTGATGAAATGCTTAGGCAGGATTTCATGATCTCTTCCAACTGTGGCTGGCATTTATTTCCAGAAAAATAGAGGTTACCCACCACTATGAGAAGTTGCAGGTTGTACCTGGGAGCCAGTTGATCTCAGTGAGTGAAAGGAAGAGATACCTCAAAATGTTGTTTTGGCCTGCAGAGTTATTCCTTTACAGAACTCATTTTTCAAATGAAGGTTGATTTTATTTATTTTTTAATGACTGTAATTGAGCAATATTTGAGATGATCACGCATCAGCAGCTCTTCATTGAAAAAGACCTTTTTGCCTTAGCCAGTGTAAAACTATGAATAACCATTTTAAGAAATTAAATCTGCATAATAGTGTAGCTGTTCAGTAATTTGTTTTCAAATAGCACCTTAATTGGAAAATAAGATTAATTAACTCATTATTGTGGGTATCTGAGTTATAAAATTAGGAATTCAAAAGAACATCATCTTTTCCAGAAAAATCCTTTATATAATGCTCTTAGAAGTAAATGCAAATAATTTGTGTCTGCATATACATGAAATGCATTAGCGTGCCTGTCAGCTCATGTTTGTATTTATACTTTCTCAGAATGGTTCATTACAGTGTTCTATTTCCATTTTCTCTTGTCTGTCGGAAACTTTTGCCTTTGGTTTGAAAGTTTCCCTGCTTTCTTTCTGGGCAGATATAAGGAAACTTTGACAGAAGTAAATTTCTTATTTTACTGAAACATCTGTTATAAAGCTGTAAATTTAATGAAAACTGTAAATAGTAACTTAAAATTAGAATATTTGTGTAGCTTTCCTACCCATAAAGCTTCATTTTCAGAACCATAGAAATAGGGGTTTATTGTATGCAAGTGTATCTTTTAAACAGGCTGTAGGCAATATGAAAATTTAGCTCTGTACATAACCATTCTCGTGAAGAGCCTTTCCCAGGCTTTTGCTGTTCATTTGCAAAGGATGTAAATAAACCAATTCTTTTTCTCAGATACGTGCTATGCACCTTCCACTTAGCTGCTGAAGCATGTAGCTACAGTTGTTCTATTTCTGCAGCTTATTGAGCTACATAAAAGTTTTCATAGCTTCCGTTGCCTTTTATCTCGGAGGGCATACTGACCAGCCACTGAAACGGAGGCAGAAACAACCATCCTGAAGTTAGAAACATGTTTTCAATTTTGTCAGTAATTGTAGATATTATGATAATATACACTAAAGAAGCAAAAATGACCCGTTGTTCATAAGATTGCATATTGAACTATATGTGGGCTTTCTGTCCTGTATCCCTTAGTACAGAACTAGCATAATACAAAACCCAAAATGGATTCTTGTAAATTTTCATTGCTTTCTTTGTATGTGTGTCTGTACCATGCCTGCCTACACAAAGCCATGAAAGTCATGTAGATGTTCATGGGCAGTATCAAACCTGCATATTTTCAGTGTTTCATGTGTATCTCATACTTGATACCAGAAGAATGAAGATTCTTCTTCTAAGGTTTTCAAATTTGTTTTTCTTATGCCCACACCTAATACCCTGTAACAGAGATACTGGCTAGCTAGCTCTGTGGATTATTAACCCTTGAGAACCCATCTCAGTTCCTCTCAACAGTCCTTGCTTAATGAAAACTTAGCTTTCAAGCAAGTCTTGATGTATTTTAAGCAGATAAAGACTTCCTGTGCCCCCCAGCTTGCACAGGTGGGTGCTGAAGTTAGGTCAGAAAACTTGGTTGCACTTCATTCCTCTAGCAGGTGTAGAAGCCCAGTGCATAAATTCTGCCTGCTGTGCTTGATACCCATCCAGTGCTGTTTAGTATTTCAGCAGTGCAACAAAGGTAGAAGGCAGTAGGTTTGTAACAAAGCATCGTTCCTAATGTAGGTCTAAGTCAAAGCTGCAGTTCTGTCCTCATAGAACGATGGAATCCACCTGTGTGCCATGCTTTTTTTTTAAACCAGAAATGTTTGCATTAGAAACTTATAAAAATTCCAGGATTAAATATTTCTTTTGCTCCCTTGCTTGTGTTCATGAGGTATCTCTCATTGGTGGATATCAGGTCTGATGGTTAGCAGAAGAGAAAATTCAAACCATCCTGTTACAGTTGTTTTCACCCTGTGTCTGTAGGCTATTGTGGTCTGTTGAATACTCTTAAAAGATTTACAGAAGCTAACAAAGAAAAGTGACCTTATTATCAAATAGGCTTAAATTCATTATGCAAGGAACTCATCTATTCTCAGAAACAGAATAGTTTCGGGGATCAACCTTTAAAGAAAGATATAACCGAAAAAAAAAAAAGTAATATGGATTCTGCTCAAGATGTGTTGTTGGTTCAAAGTGCAGCATACAATGTGATATTTCCATTCTGCATTCCCTTATATGTCTGTAATTCATTTTTCCCATAATTATTATTTGTTTTTTTCCATGTTCAATGTTAGTAGGAGCCAGGCTTCAGAACAGCTATTTTAATCAAGTTTTGTTACAGATTTTACAACTGTCCATTATATTAAGATTACTGTATAAGCTAACTTTTTGGTAGGGGTTGAAAATCTGAACTCCTATTTCTACAGTGGATAACTGACATTCTTTTTCCCTCCACCTGTAGGAACTCCCAGCCCCTTTGCTTGATGATGCCTGCAGAAACGAATTGCGAGAAGAAGCAACAGCTGCTAAGTCTGAAGATCTTCAGGATTCTATGAAAATAGCCTGGCGCTACCAAAATTTACCAAAAATGGAGGTAACCAGTATATCATACATTTTTTTCCTTTTAGTCAAAATGAATTTTCAGAGCAAATGTTTTTCAGTAGAATCTGGACAACAGAACTGCTAATGGAGAGTGTTACAGTATTGCCTCCTAAGGGTAAATTACCATACACCACTGTATTTTTGTATTACTGGAGATACAGAGAGAAATGGAATTGAGAATTTGCAGGAACTTTAAACTTAATGCAGACAGTAATTTAAAAACATTGAAGTACCATGGGATTTTTCAATGAGTATTTTTAAATTGAGACGTCTTTCTATGAAAATTTGAATAATTTGGTCACTAACAAACTTTACACAAATTTAGTTGTACACAAATTACTTAAATAGATTTACTTACTTAAGTACTTACTAGGTCTCTGTAGTGAAAGTGCTCTGTTGAAGCAAGCTGTTGACCTGCTTATCCATGTGCATAACAACTAAAATAACCACTTGAGATTATATCAGCTTCACTGTCACCAGTGAAACTAATCACTGGGCAGGAAGAATATAAGAAACGAGCCCAGTGGTCAGTCTTTCAGAGTTCTTAGTGTTTTGTAAGTAATATATCTCCCATGGCTTTCTTATTTAATCCAGTGGCACAACCAGCCTTTAATAAAATTACAGCATTTTTTGCTATCCAGAATAAAAACTTGTTTTGTCTATACATTTTAGCTTGCATTTATAAATTCTGGTTTAGATGTAGTGATAACTGCCTAGTAAGTTCAGTCGTATCCTTAAAAAACATAATTGGAATGTGACAAAATGATCTTACAGGGCTTGGCATGTTTGGTTTTCTGTGAAATTGCACAGACATGGCTATATAGTTGTGTCAAAAAATACTTTTATATGGTGACATGCCAAATCAAACAGCCTCCAGGGAAATCCTATAACCTCATCAATTTTATTATTGCGGAGCTTGCTTGTGCCACTCGGAACCATCCCCAAAATAATTTGTCTGTTTTAAAATCTAGCAGAATTCCTTGTCCACTGAAATGGAAACAATTGCATGTCCTTATTAAGCAGTGTGCTGATGTTCTAACAAAACACAAAAACATATGAATAATCCAGTTAGGTGTGTGCTTATCCTCTGTCACGTCATAGAAGTAATCACTTCGTCCACTAACACAGTGTTTCTCTACAGTGCATATGTACTTGTCATGGGTTGTTGACATTTGATTATGCAGGATAGAATAAAATGGTCAATCTTTTGTGGGCTGTTTTTGTTGTTACCATTTTCTCTTTCTGAATCGGAACCTGATCATTCTGTGTAGTTGAGGTACGATATATTTAATGTATATGTTGTATTTATAATGAAAATTAAAATTTGCAACTAAAAGTCTAATTCTTAAGCTATCTATACCTGAAATTTCTCTAGATATTTTAATTAGTGAAAAACAGTTTCAGTATTTTATAGTGCACTCATCATAAATTTTTGGTGCTGTGATACATTAGATTTGATTGGTAAATGTACTCCATTGAGGAAAATTCCGATGTTGCCTTGCAGCACCCTGGATGTTTAATACTCTTAGTACTATGATTTAATTAACGGCTTTGGTTATGATTTCTTTCTTTAAATAAATAAAAATAATGTTGAATAAAATTTCACAGCATATTTCCCAAACTGATTGAACTAATAAACTAGTACGTTTTCAAAAATTGCTGTCAAATAGCTTCAAGTATGAAAGAGGGAAAATAGCTTTGCTTTTAACTAGAACTCTAAACGTTTTAGCAGAAAACTTTTCCATCCAATATCTGGCTTCACATGAACTAAGAATGCAGAGTAAAAGCTGTCTTTGAGGTATTTTTGATGCCTCATTTACTTTTTATTTCTAAGTAATAAAAGAGGCTTTAGTTTATAGCTCAGATATTCCCTTCCTATTTATTAGACCTCATGTAGACTGTTGTTCTTTATATTGGTACTCTTCATAGCTATCACAGGTTCTCTTTACATATTGCATATTCCTTGTACATCAGAAAAAAGCAGGTGCTGTATAAAAAAATCTGTCAGAATAACAGGTCGTGTTGTGCTAGATGTGCTTTTGCCAGTTTATTTTCATCTGTATCAGAGGTTAATTTAATTTTCATTTAAACTTTTGAGTATATGGATAGTCTGCTTTGCAATGCAACACTGTGGGGTTTTTCTTTTTTTTTTTTTTTTTTTTTTTTTTTTTTTGAATGAACTGCTTATGTTCTTGGGGCAATATATAAACTGTCACAGCATGAAATCAATTTTCTGCCTTGGTTCATCCCAAATCTGAGATTTCTAGCACATTAGTATTGCAATTAGAAACATTAACAGCAGACGGTGTTATAAAAGCACGCTCTGTTCACTGACAATTTAGTGTATTTCTCCTTGTGCAAAATAGGAATCCAGGAAAGAACAGGCTAGAGCCTCCAATCCACTAATAAATTTATCAGATCAAACTTAAGAGGAATGGAAAGTCTCTGCTTCGCACTCTCCATGGTCGTTCTGCTAAGGCAGATTATTCATGCTTACTTGATTCAGGTAGGCTTTTTGCAAGCTTCCCCGCTAAGCCTGGGAATGCACTACATTGAGGCCTATCTATTCACAGGCTTCTGACATAGACCGAGCTTTTATTGCATGGTGTTTTATTATAGCCAAATCCTAGTCTCCACCCAGTTTGTAGGCACTGTGCTTATTCTTTTGAATCAAGAGAGGTTATCACCTACCTTAATCCATGCAGCAGGGTGGATTAAGGACACCAATGTGCCTCAGGATTCTCAAAGAGGATCCTGGAAACTTCTTGTTTCTTCTTTTTTGCTGTCTTTACTAAACTCTATTGGGCCTCAGTAAGGATTTGCATCTGAAATGGGCAACCTGGAGCTTTTCTCAATGAAGACATCAGATCAAAGTTCAGTTAGTCAAGGCCTTTCTAAAACATTGAGGGGGCTTGGAAGTACACAATAAAAAGATGAGCTCTGGCAGAGATTGCAGTAAAAACATTCTGATCTGTAATCCGGATAAAGAATAGATTATAGGCCAAAGAACAGCCCCTGTTTAAATTGCTTTCAGAATCCTTGTTTTAAATAGAGTTACATTTTACATAAAAATATTTCGGTTTTGATAGATTGTTATGTTTTGTTGGACTTCCTTCTTTAAAAATCAGGTGCTGATACATAAATGGTAACACTGACTTTGTTGAGGAAAAACTGCTCTGCCTCTTATGACTAGATATGCATGAGCAAATCTGTGGGTTTTTTAAATTAAAAACTAATGGGTTGTTTTAATGAAAAGCTTGGGGTTAGTTTGGTTATTCTATTGTTCTTGTATATATTGACCTGTTTAAAAGAAAAATCCTTTTATAGAATGTTCTGAGTTGTTACAGAACCTACTGAGAAACTTTTGAAGTTACTGCGGGCATTTCTGGTCACTTTTCAAAACTAATTCCATACTTTCAATTGCAGAGAAAATAGCATTTCAGTTTACCTACCAATCCAAGCTCCTCTTCGGAACCTTTAAAAGGCATTCTGTTCTGCAGTATAAAAAGTGTCTTCAACATCTTACTTTCGGCTCTTACCTTTTCTGCCTCATCTTCACTACTGTTGAGTTATTTCATTATATTTTAATACTTTGATCATTTAATATGTGAGGTGGCTGTTAGCTCTTCTGGATGATTCAGCTTAGCAGTACCTCTTGGAGTTGGGAGATGGACTTAAAAATTACTTAAAAATATTGTTACTCATTTGTGCACTGTACAGTGTACAATTCGGCTGCTGTGTAGGCTTAGGGTAGTTGTCCCCAAAATAAACTAATAGGTGATGTTTCTTTTGACCTGCAAAGCTGCTGTAAGAGGTCTAGGATCCAGCACCTTTCTCGGTCCAGGCATCTTACCCATTAGAAATATTGTGGTTTTGATTACATTACAAAACTTGTTTAGTTATTCTTTTTTTTTGGAAGAGCTAGAACAGTTAATGAGAGATAATCTGATCCGATAAGGAGCACAGTGGTGTTTGGGCCATAACATAAGATCAATTTTGATATTTCTTTGGTATCTGCTGCTACTTTACAGTATGTACATTAAAAATACTATCTAGTGGTTTACATTTGTGCCAAGTGTTTTCTTTCCCTGCATAAAACTTACATGCCTTGGAGGTTTACTCTGCTTGACGGTTCTTTCCAGGATAGCTTTTCTTTTTAATGGGAAGGGTAGACAAGGTGAAGAGCAGTTTTTGCTCTTCATCTAACAGTTCAATTCCTGCAGCAGACAGCTACTACATGCTTGAATACTGCATATTAAAACAGTCCAAGGCTTTTTAGCCACGTAATAATTCAAATCATGTTGAAGGTTGCATGCCATACTCTTATCAATGTGGAACAAAAGTATGCATTCATTTCGTCTGTTTATTTACTAGGAAAACGTATTCAAAATGTGTAATTCCTTCTATGGTTTATATTAAATTTCAGGGGCTTTATATACCCAAAATTGAGAGTTGATAAAAACCTATCTTCATTATAGTAAACCATGGTTACTGTGTGTAATGTCTGTGTAATGCTCAACCTGCTGTTTATTCAAAATTCCAGAAATTAAAAGTAGTTTTTAACTATTTCCTCTTTTTTCCAATTCTCTATTAAAATCAGATATGTGAAGAGGCAGTGGCATAAAGGCACTTCCTTTATGACCACTTCTTAGTGGTCATAAAGGAAGTGAAACATTACTTTAGTGAAACAAAGTGTTTCTTTGGTGCCTTATAACTCCCAGATACTGAAAAATCAGTTAGGTGGAACATGTCATGGTCTGCACATGTCATATGTCTGCCCTTTGGAAATTTGTCACCATATGTCTAGAACATGTGCAAAAATACATTCTTAAGTATCTGACTGCAGTTTTGTGATGCAACTTGGAACAGTAAGGGTTGATTTCTGCGTGAAAAATTCACATTAGAGAATGTCAACAGGGGATCAAAAACTTAGTGATAAATGTTATAATGTTCTACTTGAAGCGTATGCTGAATGGGAAGAACCCCCAGAGGTTTCTTTCAAGTGTATTGCTAGGGATTTTTTGTGGGGTTAATAATTTAATAGGTTATTGTAATTACCATTGTTGTTTCCACAGGCCAGCCCGAGAACATCAACAAAGTTTGGCCATTATTATGATGTCTCTAAAACAATGTCTCCAGAACAGTTTCAGCCCATAAAATGGCACAGTTTTTACCTTCCTGAAGAACTGTCTTTACAGAGTAAAGTGAAAACATGGTAAGTCGTAATACCACATGATTCAATTGTGTGTCCAAATTTTGTCTTCATATTAGTAGTATTTTTTTTTTCCTTCTACACTTGGTGTGAAAATCTTGTAGCCATGCATGGCTCACGAGCTGTTCAGCTGTGGTTCTCGTGTCAGTGCTATGTGCCACGACTGGCCACAAAGCTGCTGTAGCACAGAGACAGCTCAGTATACTGCCTCCCCAGCTGTGGGAGGAAGCAAGCTGCCAGGGACAATTAAGGCAGACATTACTAGGACAGCCTAGGACACAGCTGCATGTTCAGTCCAGCCCAACTGACAGCTGAGTGTGGGGACTGGGGAAAACTGTTACTGTCTGTCTGTAAACCACTCCCTGAGCACCATGCCCCATCAGCTTTCAGAGATGTGTGTGTCAGGTGGCTATCAGGCTTAGGAAGATATCCATAAAGTTTTTAGGGCTAAGAAAACAGGCCACGCTTGACCTACATAGCTTAGAATGTTGTATCAAATTAGTTTATTATGTGTCTTTTACTTCTTACATCCTATCGCTTCACCTAAGGAAAATAGAAAATACTGTGAATAGAATTACAATCACTAATTATGTCTTACACAACACTCCTAATTCCAGAGAAAATCATAAACTCTTCTCTGACTGAGTTGTTACAGTTCATGTCTATCAGTAATGGATTAAGGAAGACCAAGAGAAAATGAGTGACAGTAACAAACACACATATTAGCCTGTAGCACACATATCCATTGTGTCTTTCTTGGAGACATTTCAAGTCAAGTGAGACATCAAATATGGGCTAGCAGTCTCTTTGTTAGGCCCAGTCAATTTACATAATACCTAGTTCTATAGATCCCTATGTATAGGGCCAACTACTGGAAGTAGTAGTGCCATACGCTTTATTGTGATTGATTTTCATTACAGTACGCTCAAATATAAAAACTGAGATTTATGGAAGAATCATAGAATCACTAGGTTGGAAAAGACCTTAGAGATCATCCAGTCCAAAGTGCAGTATGAAGAAGTGCAGTATGAAGCACCCCACTTAGAGCTGTAGAAAAGCAAAAGCAAAGCCTCTTAGTAATTTGTTTCTGTGTTACGTGCACTTACATTTTATTCTTTCTATAGTAAATATTTGAACCAACATTATATATTATGTCTTTTGTTTTGATTTGGTTTTTTAAGGGGCAATTTACTTCCCTTTGTGTCTTTCTCTAGCTAACTAGAATGTCTCATGACTGTGGTCGTAATTCTACTAACTATATGGCTGTCAAGTATTTGTACATTTTACATTAGTATAAAATTAACTCATATATAGTATAGGAAATGGACTTTAACTTTTATGCATTTGATTTTATAAGCCCTGCTTAACACTGATATTTTCCTTCTGTGTTATCCTGATAAAAGTTCCATCATTCTTACCATGTGAATTCTATACTTTTTTCTAGTTTTAATCTAACAGAAAGATTAGATTTAGTTCATTTGCTCGGCAAATCTGTAGAGCAGAGTGATGAGGTCAGGAACATGATGAAGCACTGGCACAGGTTGCCCAGAGAAGCTGTGGATGCCCCATCCCTGGGAGTGTTCAAGGCCAGGCTGGATGAGGCTTGGAGCAACCTGGTCTAGTGGAAGGTGTCCCTGCCCATGGCTGGGGGGTTGGAACTAGATGGTCTCCAAGGTCCCTTCCAAACCAAACCATCTCATGATTCTATGAAATTAAGATGGATTTTGGAAGGCTTATCTCCTTTTCTTCTCCCTGCACCCCAACATGGTTCTCCTTTGAGAAGCCACTCCTGAGGAAATGAAAGAATTGTATTGTTGTGAGTAAAGGCAGGTGTTGGGGTAACAGACAACCACCATTCTAAACATTGTTCTCTTAGACCACAGTGCAGTGTGATAAGGGACAGGGAGGAACAAAGAACACACTGGGAATAATGAATGCTCAGGCAGAATTCTGTGGGAACTGTGAAGAGGTGTGTACGTCTCTTTCTTCACTCACACTATAAGTCTTCTAACTTTGATTATTGTCTTTCCTGACCACAAACACCACTGGGTTTGGATTACCTATATAAAAATGTTGCACTAGGTCAAGGTTAAGGCAAGGTGGGAAGAAGAATTTTTCAGAATTGCAGCCTCTGAAATAAAGCTCATTTCTCTGTAGAGAAATGGAAGATTTAAGCTTCCCATAATTACAGTCATTCTATTTTGACACACATTTAAAAAATACACTGAATTAGAATTTCAGCTTCAGTTTGTCAGTGTTGTATAACTGGAGTTCTTAAAAATTATGGAAGTGGAGAAAAGCTGCTTCTCCCGTTACCTGATTGCCAAATTGATCTGCACCTAGCACAGTTAATATCAGCAAACTGGACTACCAAATTTGTGTAGGAAAGAACAGGTTAGAAAATACATAAATGTTTTCAAGCTGGGACCTAATGAAGTTAATTGGAAAAACATAAAGAATTGTCAAAGTTCCACAAAGTCAAAAAGGCCAAAGCAATGCCTGTCTTTAAGGAGAAGAAAAGTGAAGAAATCTGCAGGATAACATTAGTGGTCCAAAAATTACCAGTAAAAATAATATAATCTATTTTTAAGATTCCAGGGTAGTTTCACCCAATATGTGTTTCCTTTGTTTGCTTATGGGTATTCAACTGGGGTAGAGTCAAAAGGCTCTAAAATAAAATGGGAGATATTCTCCATTGATAAAGTCTGTTATCATGTCAAAGGAGGGACATAGACTGGTTTGACAGTTTTCTTTTTGTCATGTTGATTGTTAAATCCTTATCTTCTAAATAAGCTGTCACTGAGTCACAATTGAACCTGAGTGAAGTACCAGGCTTTATCCCACTGTTGGGTCTGGTAATAGTCTAGTACCAATTTGTCTTGTTACGTATCCTCAGCAAAGGGAATCTTCATTGCGGTCCTAATGTCAAATTTGGGGAAAAGTGGAAGGAATAATTGCATGCAGATTAGATAACAGAATTGGAATTCAAAAATATTTAGGGTGTGGATCCGGAATAAACTATATGGAATCCAGTGAAGACATGCAGTATATCCTGCTAGTAGGAATAATTAATTGAACAAATAAAGTATCTTGGACATAAATTATGTTGGCAGTGTTGTGTGATGACTGGTACCAAAAAGCATAATTAAAAAAGCAATGATGTCATAAACTGGAATTTAATGTGGAAGACATGCCAAGAAAGCTGTTCAGTTTTTGATAGCATCCTTCAAGAAAACTCTGGATCAGTTAGAGAAGGTTGTGAAGTTGGGTGTGCATCTCAAACTGGGCTGTATGGCCCGTGACGGAAGAATGGAAGTCCTTACACAAGTTAAAGCAGAGGTTTGAAGCACATTAAAAACTGACATCCAGAGGGTATTAACTCTGTTGTCTGCTGAAGGTAGGACAAGCAGTAATGGGCTGCAGCTAACTGCAGTAGCAGAAAACCAGGCTGGAAATAAGGAGGTATTTTTCTAATGATTAGCACAAGAAGTTGCCTTGCAGACACAGGCTTGGAGTATTGTAGAATCTCCATCACTGAAAATTTCTAAGGACAAGTTAGGTAAATATCTGTCAGAGCTGGTTTAGATGTAGTTCATCTTGCCTTGGGGCAAGAAGATAGACTACCTGACCTCTTGAGGTCCTTTTCATCCCTATCTTCTGTGATTCTTTAATACACATTAGTCACAGTGTATTAAATCCAATACTAAGTATGAATGTTACCAATTATTTCATTGCTCTCAAAACATTTGTGCTTTCACAGAAACCCAACAGGCTTCTGCTGTATTTTTTACAGATACTTTGATGAAATTCTGCAGGAAGCATTCTTTTCTCAGGAAACAAAAACATGCTTACAATCCTGTCAGGATGATTTCATTACAGAAAGTTTATAAAAGGGGAGGGAAAGGATATTATTTTGTTGTCATTACTGTTTGGAAAATCAATACAATGCTTCTGGCTTCTAAAGATAACTTAAGTATGTCATAGAATAGTAAAAATTTCTGTGCTCTTGATTAACTAGACAGTGATAGTCAGAGTTAACCCTTCCATTGGGAGCCAACAATTTGTATTAGAGCTCGTCTTTGTCTCATGTCCCCCGGGGAGCTTGAGCTAAGCTCTTTTGCTCTGTTTTACAGTGAAGTAGGAGCATGGACATGGCTAGTTAGCATGCCTCCACTTAGAGGATGTAATTCCTTAAACATAAGGTTCACAGACCATGGTCTTAGATGCGTAGCTAAAAAACACCTGGTGGCATAGTGCTACTTTCCTGTATAGCAGTGCAATATCTCCGTAATCTACTAGGCTGACAGTACCACAAAAGAAGTACTAATAGCCTGGCAGGAACTACACTATAAAGAAAAAGTTACAAAAAGTTACAAAAATTACTTAAAATTCAGAGATCTCTAAAAATGGGTGATGTTTGTCTTTTGTTCAATTTAATTTATGAAAGCTGACAAATCTTCAAAAATACGGAGGCATTTTTAAGAAAGAGGATACTTCATTATTGAAATGTTAGTAGGCTATGTATTGTGGGATGTTTGTGAAAGATTTCATGACTTTCTGATGAGTACACTTTGCAAGATACGTATCAGTAAAGACATTGCTGAATGAGATTTGTTCTTCAGTCGTTTTTTTTTTGAGTGCAGACCAAAATCAGTGGTGTGGACCTTTTTTTTTTTTTAAATCTAAGAATGTTTTGCTTTTGTCACTAATACTGTGGTTGAGGAGGAAGTGGAAACTGATAGTTTTGCCTAGTATATGATTTTCCATAAGTAAATGGTATTGTTGTTGATGGGTGATACCTCTTTACAGTATCGAAAGTCACAAAAAATTAGCAATTATCGGGGGGACATTCCCTCTTCTCAAAATGCTTCCACATTATTTTAGCTAGCTTGATCCATTCTATTTGTAATGTAGCAGAGTACAGCATGGTTTAAGTTCAGGCTGAAATAAATTGTTACAGTTCTGCAACTACAGCCATTGAAGAGGCACCTTAAATTACGTAGTTGTCGTGGAAAGTGTACCTAGGCCAACATACACGTTCTATACTGAGGTCACAAGATTTATGTTCTGCAATGCCAAGCTAGTAATGGTTAAAGCAGAAAATATACAGGAAGAGTAATGTACCCCATTTTCCTGTACAGTTTATACTCATTCCTAACAGACACAGTGAGTATAGTGACCATGTATTGTCCAATCCTTTGAAAAACAGCGCTGCATCTATTAATGAGCAAAGGTCCTATGTTCATAATGACCTAAGAACCATGTATTTGAAAAAATGACCAACTCTTCTTGATGCTTCTAATTCTCTAGCATTACATTAAGAAACCTATTTGGTTTAAACTGTTCTCCAGTGGCTGAACTGCTTCTGTAATTGTAGCTGATGTCTGTTGCAAGATAATTACAGTGCTTCCCTTGCAGGATCAGAGATGGGAAAGCTTTATCTGTGGCAGAAACTCTTGGCCCTTTTTAGAAATCATGTGTATCTATCCATAAGTCCCTCTCTTCCTATCCACACAAGCATTTGGCTTTTTTATGAACCTGCAAGGAAAGGAGATTCGTTGCCTGATTAGACAGAAGTAAGGTATTGACTGGCCTTTCAATATCAGATTTGGAGGTTATATACGTCATTTGTTCACATTAAAGTTTAGATCGATCTTTCCTTGCTTTCCTGTGTTTCTGCACACGTGTGTGTATCTGCTCTTTGAGAGAGGGAGATGAGGAGTACTGTGTTTGCTCTCCTTTCTGTAGTTCTGGTACCTGATGGCTAAAATAGATTACAGGGTCGCCTTTTGGATAATCACTCAGGGTGGGTAGAAGTTCATTGCCCCATGAAAAACACTGATTGAAAGCAGATTGGGAAATCAGTTCTCCTAAAGGAAGTAGTAAATGGGACTTGGTGTTTGGTGACAAAAGAAGGCATAAACCACTTCTTTCTTATCTCATTATTTTTTATGTTAGGGAAGAGCAGTCACGTCCTGGCCCTGATGCTGGGACCAGGTTAACGGGGCTGTGCAGCTGACAGCAACTGTTTTCCAGTTGTGGTTGCTAGGATATTCTGGTGTCCTTTTGGTGGCATTGCTAAAGCTGGTACTTAACAGGAAGGCAGAAATATCCTCTGTGATAACTCTGTGCATTGCAGAAAAGGCTTACTTTCTATCCCACTTACTTCACTTCTGTCTTTGTTGTTCAGTTACAATTACCAAAAAGAAAGTTTGATAATCAAGGGAACTAAAATAATTAAGCTGTAGTTTTTCAATATTGCTCTTAAGTTTTGCCTTAAGAACGTATGTGCTTTTGAAAAAGAGAAACAAATCACCTGGAGTCTAGATTTACCGATAAATTTAGATAAAACAGGTTTAACTGTCTTGCCTAATGGGGTCTCCTTATACATAATAAGGCTATTTGTCATACTCCTGATAGCCTAACCTTTGTTAACTGCTTAGAAACTATCAACAGAGAAGTCAGAGGCTCCGTTGTAACCGGGATACCTTCTTGCCAGCTCCTGCTTTATCCATTACTAAATTGCTAAACAAAAAAAAGAGTAAAGAAGGAATTGTTTAAATTCATTATCAGAATTAAATAGTGTTGAGTAACAAAGCCAAAAAAAGACTGGAAATTGGAAAATAAAAAATACCTTATTTCCTTCCTTAAATACTATGACAAACATTGCCAGAAGGGTAATGCAACATGGTTTTATACTGTTTCCACAATATTTTTCATGTCCTTATTTACATAGCATGGTTAAAATTCAAGTAAACCATTAATATTTTGGCCAGGACTAGAAGAGCACCTGGTTTTACTTTTCAAAAAAAAAAAAAAAGTGCATTACATTACTTTCTTTAATTCTTTCTTTGTTACAAATCTTTTTTTGATGGATTGTTTGTTTTAATTCTGACAGGGTATGGACAGGGTATGATGCTTTTTTCCTGAAGGAAATGTAGAATTCTGAGTTAAAGCAATGGTGTAAAAGAGAGATATTTGCAACTCAAGTGCTTCTCAGAAAAGTTTTCTTCTGTACAAAAGTATGAAGGCATGTTTATTTAGGCTTACTTAGGTATTCATTAGTAAAATATATTTCAATAACATTTTTGGCTCTTTTTAAGTAGCAGAAATAGTTTCATTGATGTTTGGACCAGGTGATCTTTCAAGATACCTTCCAATATGGGCTGTTACTAGACCAGACATATAAAATGTTTGGAGCAAGTGAGAACATTTTTAGAGGCAAAATTTTCAAAATACCCTGTCCTATTTCCCAAGAAGTACACAAGAAGTTTGAACCCACAAGCCTGGATGGTAATTTATGAGTCTAGAAGGAAATGCTGTAGCTAGAAAAGATGGAAGGGCTTAAACTCTCAGCTGCAGTGAGGAACCTACATCATCCAGACACACAAGGCAGTATGCTCTATGGGATTTAGAAAACAGTATGTCTTTCTTAAAAGTGAACAACTGGCTTGCTTTTTTAAAGTAAAGATTAGGTTTTTCTGTCCATTGTATGTGTTAGCCTGTGGACGGGTATCTGAAGAAGTGTTTTGGACCTGCAGGAACTGGACTTTCTAAGACTTTGACAGGGCGATTTGCTGATCTTTCATTTGGTATTAAGTCTGCTTGAATCTATTTTTAGCTGCCAGGTTTTTTTTTATTATTATTTTATTTTATATTTTCTAAATAATTCATAGAAGAAATTCTACCTCAGGATTCTGTGGCCATGCAAATAAAGCAGAAATCACGCCTGTAGTGTATGGCTACCAATGGAGCCATTGCATAGCAGAATGTATCTTGTACTCCGGTGCAGTACCAAAAAAAAATAGAACATATTAACTACGTGAACTTCTTATTGTAAAAATGTTTTCTTTTTCATTTTTGTTGGGTTTAATTGTTGTAGCGGTTGTATGCATGAAAGTTTTTTAGTAAACTTTAGTTTTAGTCGAAAACTTTAGGTTTTGACTTTAGAAACTCAACTCTTCATCATGGTATTGATGAACAGAGTATTTGGAGTACAAGATTGTACTTGGAGTGACAATTAGTTAGATCCTCGTCAGTTACAGAAGATTAATACTTTCCTGTAATGGTTTCAACTTTAAGTTGGTACTTTAAATCATTAATCTTCTAGATGTAAGTGAGCCTGACATAATTAAGTTATCTTAATCTCTAGAGGTTTTAGCTTTCACTAGATGTCTGAGCACTGAACTAGTTAACATGAAGCAATCACAACTGCTTATAATGTCAACTTTATTCAAAGAGGGTTAGGATTTTTCTTCTCTTATACATTTTTCTATTTGACACTTTTGGACTGAAAGCTGCATCTGCTTATATTTGTTTTTAATACAGCTGCTAGAGACATATAGGAGAGTATTAAAATGTGTTACTAAACTATTTCTTCTTACCAACAGTAATATGAACAGTGCTTACACACGGCTGCTGCAGTCCATTCAGAAGATCATTTACCAGGAAGGGTTTGATGGCTCTGATCCCCAGGTACCGAAGACCCTCATACATTCTTATAAGGCTGTAACTAACATTATTTTCTGAATTTTCAAGGGTGGCAGAAGGAGGTCTTGGACAAAATAACAAGTAAAGCTGTTTCTAAGCATTGCTAAAGTAAACAAGCAAATTAAATAGTGTGGTTCATATTTTAATGTGCATTTGGAGCTTTTATCTGTTACAGATATGTAGACAGTGTGAGAGAAAACTATAAACCAACATTAGTAAAATGTGTATTCTGTGCAATTAGCTAATAAATGGATTGCCAAATATAATGTAATTTAGGAAAACACATTTTCTCCTACATTATGTTTTTTTTAAACTCTTGCTTTAGCATTGATGTGTTCAAAATTCTTGAGACAGAACATTTACTCTTAAACTTTAAGATATTTTCAATGTTGTTTTAACTGGAGTGGCATGAATTTTTTAATTAATTCAATGGTGTGCATCTTTATGTAGTGAGCATTGAAACACAAGTAAAGAAATACAAATGCTGTTTCAACCTTACAAATCAAAACAGCTTACCAAACTCCTAAAGATCTCTGTCCTCCAGAAATCATGGTGTGGGTAATCAAGAACGTTTTCAGCGTAACAACGTAGGCTGAAAGCCCTATTCTAATTTGAGCAGTGCCCTATCTATTATTCTTTCTCATACTCAGTAATACATGAGTCCTTTGGAGTTGATGGGGGAAAAAAAAATGTATATATTGATGCTTAGTTGATAGGTAATTATCTTTATTGTTGTAGAATAGAAACATTACCACAGTAGACTTTAATTAATATAGATGCCGGAGAACCTCAAAGGGTATAATACAAGACTCTGCACTGTTACTAGTGGAAAATCTCTAAAATCCCCTTTTGCAAGGAAGATGATGCTGGAATGGATGTTTTCATGTCTAACAGTATGTTTTAGCAACGTTACCTGCATAGAACACTTGTGTGTTATTTGTGCTCAGTGCTTGGCTCTGCTGAGATTTATGGGCAAGCTTGCCTTCCCTTCGGTGGCAGTGGCACTGCCAGTCTGGAGTAGTAAATTGGTCCCTGACAGGCACCTCTCCCCACTCGCTGCAGTAGCCATGGCAACAGGCATGTCATCCTACTGTAGGGTACCGTGTGCAGAGATGCTCTTCCCGCACAGTGACAGGTCCTGTGGAAGCCCAAGAGCTTGCCGGCTGCAGAGAGGAGCGCCGAGCGAAACACACACCCTGCCAACCTTCAGCCAGCAAACAGCCTCCTACTGCAGAGATTAGGCTGGTGCTTCTGATTTTTCTTACAAGTTAGGGCTGATGGGAAATCAGCACCTTTCTATATTCCTGAAAATAAAGGTTGGCAAGAGTCAATATTTTTTGATTTTTTGCATGCAAGCAAGGAAAAATTAAACAACGTAGGGAGTTATTTTCTGTACTTGCTGTTCATTGCTTCAAAATGCCTTACTAGTGTCAGTAAAGCAACTGAACTCAGACAAATTTATTTTTGCTAAATGACGGATAGGTTTCTGAGGTAAAACTTTTAACAGTTTGAAAGAGAGTCCTTTTTCAAGCCAGTTTATCCATCTAGAAAACCATTAGTGCTTGCATAGTTGTTTCTGTTTCAAGGAAGATAATGCATATGGTCTCCTGGAGTGGTATCTTTCTTTTAAGATTCCTCTTTTCCCCATGCATCATCTTTCTTCATACACTCAAAAGTTGTACATTTAGAAGCAGTAATGGTAATAATAATACCTCTTAACTACATTCAACTCCAGACATATTTTTCTGGCCCAGAACACACCTTGGATCTTTTTAACTTCCATATCTATGAGATATTCTCCACTCTGCTACTCCATATCCCCTTCTGTTTGCTGAGACTTCAGAAGTACTTTTTAAGTAGCCAGATAGGAAGACTGTAAACTAAGGAGCAGCCTGTATTCTTCTGGACCTGTGTCCTTTCCTATGTATAATAATAATACAGGCATCAGAGAAGTTTGTGCATGTATGCTCTTCCCCTCCAAATAATCCTCTCCCCCTTAGGTGGGTCCTATTGACAGTGGCTTTCAGGAAGTTTGAAGAAAACTGCAAGGGCCAAAATGTAGCAGGGAGGTACTGAACTTTCAAGAGACTTAGTTACTGGCTTCAGGTAGATCCATTAATCTCTTTCTGTGAATGACAGAAGCTGATGCCATTAATGCTTCATTTTTCATACTGTGAAGGATAGTCCTTCCAAAATCTCTTGACTCTGGAGGTCTAGAAATGTGTTGCTTGTTGCATCTGGGTTCAAAGGAAAACTTTAACCAGACTGGTAAAACTTTCAGATATTTGTGGCTACTTTTTTCGTGTAACACTTTTTTGGTATACTTTGGAGCTCAAGTTGGGCGGCTTTCAGGATAATAAAGTAAGAGGAGATTGGCTTTTTGTTTGCTTGGAGTTCATCATAATCAGAATTCTTGCTGTCAAAGCAAACATTGTTACAAAAATTACATGAAAAACGTAAAAGATCCAAACAAATGGGAGTATAAAAGATCTAGTGATATATCTCCAAAAAAAAAGTTACCTTACTCTGTACTGCAGGCTTGTTGGTATAGAGTGTTAGACTTACACTTATATTTCAGTTATGGAATAAGCCGTTTGTCAGGGCCTTGTGGTCCTAACAGAATTACAGTGGTAGAAATCCAAAGCAAACACATCTGATATTATCTGTGTGTGAATCGCTTTATCTTTTACAACTCTTATGATTTAATATTGTGAAACAAGCACCTGTCATCCTTTATCCAATAAGAGAACTGATATACAGTTTTTTCTCTGTGTGTTGTGTTTACTGATATTTTTCTCATTGCAGAAGTTTCTGTCAGTTTTAGGTATGTTTGCTCTAAAATGAAATACCAGAACACTTTGTCTGCATGATCAATATCCATTACATCTGGGTAAAATAGTTGTATTAAATGCCTGATACTCTACCATTGCTTAAACACACATCAAGAAGTGCATGAGTCTGCTCTGATTAGAAATCACTAAAGAATATCAGACTAGCTTCTATTTTTCCTATTATTTTTAAAAGTCTGAACATCCAAGCCTAGCAAATATCTTACAGAGAAGTCAAATTGTGTTGTATTATCCTGTACTGTTATCCAGACCTTCATAAGGTAGTGTAAAAAGTTAACTTGACATGAGTAAAGCCTAAAATCCTGCAAAGCCCGAATCTGCCAGTTAAAACATGTATCACTTTCACAGCGATTGTAAGCAGATTGGCAGATGAACTCCCTGTGTAAGCCGTGAGAGTTGGATAAATGCAGAATCATGTGGTACTAACTCTGTTTCACAACTGAGGGTCTGTATCCCTAGTATGGAGAAGGAAGTATTTATAAAAGTAGCCTCTTGTCAAAACCTTTCCTCTGGATTTCCAGAGCAGCTCTGGAATGTTTTGTGCTTGATAGTTACTGCTCATCAGTTTATCAAAGCACTTCGTTGTAATTAAAAGTACCTGGATGCTTTTCTTTACCTAAACTGGTATTTTTATATAAATATATGCATATATGTGTATATATATATATGTAAAATATGTATAAATGTATAAGATATGTAGAAATATGTATATATGTAAAACTGCCTTAAAGTATGAACTCTGAACTCTAGAAATGTATCATCAATCACCTTGCACAGGAAGTCTTTCAACAAAGGTGCTTATTGTCTCTCTCAGATGATGACAGTAAATATACCTAAAATCCTTCTCAATGATCACCAGGAAAGGTCACATCAGATAAGCAGAAATGAGATTTCTGATCAGGAGAGATGACGTTTTAGTTTTGCTTAAACAAATTACAACTCTGGGTTCATAATGTTCCCCTTCAGAAGAGGGGCTTTATCTTAGCCATTGCCTGTTAGAAGCTGTTCTGCCACCGTGCTGCAGGGCAGCAACTTTTGGGTCGGTAACACCAGGGCAGTTTAGGATTTTACATGTAAAAACAGCTTTGATTGTAGTACCCAGTAGGTCACTAAAGCAGACCCAGAAACACTCAGTTCAAGGACGTTCAGAAAGGTGTAGTCCTGAAGAGACGGTCTGCTGATGTCTCCATCAGACTCTTTCTCCATAGCTGTGGGTAACCCGTCCCTCGTTAGTTGGAGGGAGCTGACAGGAATGTAGATGATACTTAATGAAACTTTGAAAACAGTGGAAGGGCCTTGCAGTGGTGAGGTAGGCCACCAACCCTGGGCACTTCGAACTGGCAGAAAAAGTGAAACGAAGCAAACAGGCAGAATAGGTTATGAAAGTACACAGTAGAAAGTTGAAAATAGAGGGAGAAGTTGTGTTTGCTTACTCTCAGGCCCTTCCTTAAAGTTGGGAGAAAAGATTCTTTTGCATGAAAGGACATGAAAAATTGTGGTATTTTTGTGTTTTCTGTCAGACTATACTGACATTCAGCTGATTACAAAATGCAAATTAGCTTTTGGTATTTCCTTGCTCTCTTGCACTTCTACTTGCTTATCAGACATAGAATGATATCCAGTTAGTGAAAAAAATGCTACTCCATTTGTAATTTTTATCAAGATCCTCTGAGATTATGCTATGTTTACTTGAACTATATGATTATTATTGTTATGAATTCTGTAAATTGTACTTTTTTAAATTTAAAATCATAGAATCATTTGGGTTGTAAGGGACCTTAAAGACCACCTAGTTCCAACCCCCCTGCCATGGGCAGGCCACCCTCCCACTAGACCAGGTTGCTCCAAGCCTCATCCAGCCTGGCCTTGAACACTTCCAGGGATGGGGCATCCACAGCTTCGCTGGGCAACCTGTCCCAGTGCCTCACCACCCGTTCCATGAAGACCTTTTTCCTGATATCTAATCTAACCCTCCTCACTTTCAATTTAAACCCGTTCCCCCTTGTCCTGTCACTACAGGCCCTTGTAAAAAGTGTGTCGTGTGTGTCCCCCCCCTTCCCTGTAGGCCCCTTCAGGCACTGGAAGGTGCTATAAGGTCTCCCCGGAGCCTTCTCTTCTCCAGG